GTCTATCGAGATCGAGTCTATCGAGAATTGTCTATCAAACAAGCTACTGTACCTATCTTAGCACAAGCGAACTGTATACGAACTTATGCAGGCTCTGAAACTACTAAGGTCTCGTCTAAGGAATGCGAACAGATTCTTCTGAGGAAAAGCCGACGAATGGAAGAGCGGAGAAGAGAAAAGACTCTGTGTTTACAGCCTGTCATGTGACTATCAAAGACCGGCTTGCTGATGATCAATTTTTTCATGAGTACACTGTTTTTTTATTATTTTTTATTCCAGGAAGTATTTTTTGCTTTACGCCTTTTGATAGTATGACTATTAAGTTTAATAAGGTTCAATATAGTCCAATTCTTCTCAATTCTTCGACTACAACACTCATTGTTGTCACTTCATCGTTTTATGATATATTCAAGCAGAACCCCGAGTTCACGCAGCTATGCGTCTAGTTCAAGTTATAATATCGACATTGCACAACGGGGTGTTTTGGAGTGTTTTGGATTAAAAAGGAGTTTTTTTTTATATTTTAGAATTGACATATACATCAAAGTTGACAACGTATACATAACGTATGTCAACTATATTTCGATTTGATTGGTTTTATATTTCCCTGGCATTTGTTATTAGTCTTGCTCGCGTTTTTAATGTAAATAATACTTGTTTCGTATAGGATGGCGCGACTGCATTAAAAGATTTGATTGGCGGAAGTTACCTGCACATTTTGACTTGCGCTCTCTTAATTGAACGAAAGGACTAATCTTACTAAGTGAACATCAGTTTCTCGACCTTCTTTGCAGACTAATTCATAAATGATTTCAGCACAATGTCACTAAACTACATAAAACAACTAGCGTACGAGCTTTCTCATAGACCGCAATGGCTGGTGTTAATAGAAACGGGCCTGTTCATCATCATCGCATTGTCATTTCTAGTGGGAAATTCATGCGTTTTGTATGTGTTCTACAAAACTTCCAGCCTTCGTAATCGTGGCACAACTTACTACCTTATGGCCCTGGCCATTTCAGATATACTAATGTCATTGCTGGTAATGCCTCCTAATACTTTGTGTTGTGCTTATGGAGGAGATGTTACAGGCTACAACCTTGGACAAGCCGTTGGTTTTGTAGGATTCGTATTGCTCTATGGCTCACTACAGACCACAACTCTCATTTCCATAAACCGATTCTTTTGTGTTGTGAAACCTCGGTTATATAGGAAGTATTTCACCAAAAAGTACATTTTGTTAAGCATTGGAGCCGTTTGGGTGATTTCTTTGCTTTTTGTTGGTGTTTTTGTTGTTAGTGGAGTCGCATCGTTTGTTTTTCATCCAGGTAACATGCTGTATTTCCTGACAGCAAAAGACCAAACAGCAAATCGTCTTTTCGCTGCGTTTTCTCAGATTTCTTTTGGAGTAATTCCCTTATCTATAACATGCGTGTGCTATTGGAAAGTTCACAAGGCGGTTGAAGAGCACCGAAAGGCCCTTTCACGTAATTTAGATACCAATTATTTGTCCAAAGAAGAGGTTCACATCACAAAATCAGTATTAGCGCTAGTATGTGGATTCGCCGTGTGCTGGATCCCATGTTCAATGGTTCATCATATCTCTGTATATGCCAACATACCACGCCAAGTTCAAATGGTTATTCCTTACACTGCTTACTTTAGCAGTGCTATAAACCCCATTGTGTACAATATATTCAACAAGCCATTCAGAAGGCACTTCTTTCAAGTGTTCAGACGTTCGCATAGAGTTGGAGATTCGACGACGCAAAGTAGTTTTGGGATGAATCAAATGAGAGAAACGAAATCTTGAAATAGATCGAATAAAATGAACATTAGTTTAGATATACTATGCAGTAACAAACAAATTTGGCATCAATTAATACATGAATTGAATATGAATATCCATCAGAATTTAACTATAACTATCAAAAAGGCACAAAATTGAGAAACCTGTACTGAAGACCATATGTAGGAACTGATTATAGATGCTTAGTCAAGAAAAATAAAATAAAAAAGCTTAAAAAAGGAACTCAGAACAAAATCTTGACGAAGGAAACTCTGAGAAAACGCATATTTGAGTAAAAATTTCTTATACCGAGACTTCAAAGGACTTACGGCAAACTTATTTTGCCCTTACACGCTAAAATTGAATCTCAATAATTTTTAGCTTTAAAATCGGTTTTGTTTAATAACTTCTTCAGCTGAAGCTATAATGTTGTCAACGTATATTCGTGTCTAAGAAAATCGACGGGGTAGATGTTAAAATTTGTGGGGCTGCACATTGTGAAATTCGAGTTGCGATTTTTGCATTGCGACTCTCACGCGATAAACGCCACTTTGCTATCACGCAACTAAAATCGTACGTGTAAACAGTCCTGCGATTGTATATCGCCGCAAAGCTGCAGCCAATTTTCAAGCATGGCGAAACTCAGGCGATGTTCGCGCGAGGATCGCCGCGAGAATCGCTCTGCAAAAACGCAAGTGTAAACGGGCCTTTAGAATGGGTTTCACAGATATTACACAAATACCAAGAAGCAAATCTCCATTAAATGTACTAATTTATTTACAGCACCGTTTATGTTTCAAAATCAATGTGTTTAGAAGCGGCTTCCAGGTCAATTCTAAAAGCACCAACCAATATCGACAAGAAGTGACATAATGTCGGATGTTTACTTCAACTTGTCGTCCAATATTTGTCTTTTAATGAAAAGATAGCACTTTAGCGGATAAATAAATTGCCAGTATTTTACCTCGAAAACAAAAGCAAACAAAGGAGAAGAATATCTTATATTGATAAGTGGAGTATTATATCTTGAAAATAATATGATAATAAAAATACCAAACAAAATGCTAATTTATTCAATTTCTATTTTAAGTGTTTGGATTTCGCTTGGATCTGGTCTAAAGTTTATAAGTGCACTACTGGTCTATGTCATACTCACTATGTCTTTCATCATCATTCCTATTACGCCTAGGTGGCATGTAGGGCCGCTACTAAGAATTTCGATATGGTTATTCTTAGTATTGGTTTCCGTAGCAATAAGTAAGTGTGATGGGGTTGCTGCGCCCCAAGCACACTGCCAGAGCCCTGTTAGCCGGTGTTAGCCGTTTCCACCTACCACGACGAGGACGTAGGGATTGACTTTTGGTACACTATGTCTTTAATATCATTTAAAACATAAAAGAAAATAAGGTATAACTAGACCCTGTATGCAGGGTTGACACGTACCCTTTGTTGTGCATGATGTTGTGAGATCATTAGTAAATGAGGCCTTATTAAAACCTTACTGATACAGAATAAAGAAATGATTTGATCCATCGAGCCTTGCCAAGATATATGTGATTTTTGCGATAAGCTTATATGTGGTGGCTCTTAAAATTTCAGCTGTAACTGCCTTTGTGATTCTGCAGACGGAGTATAATTTTAAGGTCAGATATACGCGGAGATATATAACTAGGCATGATTTGGTTACAACGTGACGCTTTATTAACTTTTGATATGATAGTAACACAATATTTTTGCACATCTACATTAAAACTCGACATATCTATTGCAGATGTTTGAATAGCCATGGAATTAATAAGCATTTTCTAAAGAGTTGTATTGATATTCAATAATTGGAACCCAATCACTATATCGTTGCCGTTGCTTCACGAGTAGTAAGCGTGTTGATCTCTGTAG